ACCGGACCTCCCGTCACCTGTCAGTGAGGACGCAAGTGCCTGCTTCAAAACCGTCCTCCCCAGCAGTGTCAATACCGACAGCACTGCGTGAGGCTATGGGAGGGGCGCTAGACGGCCTGTGGCGTCATGAAGCTGGAAAACGTGTCCGCGAGACCAAGCGGATGCGTTTGCTAGAGAAGCAGTGGGCCAGGTGAGCCAACGGTTTGTTGGATGCTGGCTCGATGCCCGCCCCCGCAGGAGGGACAGTTCCGCCTCCTATAATGCGGGCAGAGACTCCACCAGGCTCCTCGAGGTACCAAGCGATGGGTATGACACAATCACCGCCACCCCACGCCCCGGCATGGTTTCACGAAAGGATTTAAACGAGGTAAAAGCATGACGGATGAAATCACTGCTCCCACATGACGTGTTACTTTGTACACACGTTGTGTACAAACATTTGGCTAGTTAGCTTGCTGGCCATGATCACATGACATTGAGTCCTGGCAAGGACTGGGTGGTCTCGGCTCATATGTATATTACAAAGCCATACATGCATCACAATCGGAATTATCTCCTTGGAATTGCTGGGATTCGAACCGGGGTCTTCTGATTTTGAGTCGAACCCTCCACCAACTGAGATAACTAGACAGAGCTTTCTAACTGTTAGTAACCAAGAGCTCAGTTGGTAGAGCACTGGACTCGCAGCCAAGAAGACCCTGGTTAAGATCATGATCGGATACCACCTTTTGGCGGCCAGAGGGTGGAATGGAACGAACGATAGTCCGAAACATCATTCCATCCGTGATTCTCAAGCGGATGCGGAATCACCGTGCTGAACGGGGCGCCCTTGGAAGTGCAGCCTACCCGAAGTTGTCCCCTCCCCCCCCCCCCCCTTCCGCAAAGGGCGGTAATCGCAGGATCTATCCAAGGTGTCACCTCAGCTCTTTTGGTCAGACAGGTCGAAAGATGGAAACCATAATGCTGGGATCGACCGCTGCTGCCAGGTAGCTTGATTTGACCGTGACCGCGGTGTTTTAATATCGTTTTGTCCCTTATAACGCGTCTCTCGACGGGTGCTTTTGCCAGTGGAAGCATCAGTTCGCCCTTATGCTTTAGTTACTCGATGGATGCTTTTCATCGAAACTGTGGGAGCGTCAAAAACAATGCACAGGATCTCATGTTCGTGCAGTTAGCGTCGTATTCATATTCGAAGTCAGTGTCGAGTTCAAACATTACCAGTTCTCGCGAGCGAGTGTTGCCCGCTACTGAACAGCCCGCAAGTGGCGAAACATCAACTGAACGCTCATAGAACGATAAGACACTACTCAGTGTTCCGTAAAGATGAGCCATCGATCACAGTCGCGTACGGCGGTGCTGTTTCACCACAGCATGCCAGCTGATCGTCTGGCAGTCCACGTCACTGTCCACGTCATGACGGCCCAAGTCAATCTTCACCACCGGCCTATGACAGAGTGGTCGCCGTGTATCTGGCGCCTTGAGTTGCGGTCTCCGTCGTAGATCTGATGTCACGTGACAATCGCCTGGTGTTGGAGCTGGCTGCTTTTGGTCATTTCGGGTGATTTTAACCCGCACCACGTCGTATGGACTTGTGACCGCTGTAACATGCTTGGGGGGCCATGTACACATTTGATCCAGCTCGTCAGATCTGTGTTATGGTCCACATACTTCCGATCCACAGCTTATGCAGTGTTCTAATTGTCGGGCCGTTGCCGACGACCCCATGGACAGCGACCATTTCCCAATGTGGCTCAGCTACCAGGATGGGACTGGTAATAGGCCGGGGCCTCAGACACGGAACATCGGCTCGCGTCAGTTCGATGGTCGGCCGGACTCAGTACCCCCGGCTGACCCATTGAGGGCACCTACAGTTGCAGATGTCATCTTGTCCTGCTTTAAGCGCTGCCCCCCCCCAAAAAAAAACAACAACAGAGACCCTCGAAGTACTCCATTCCAATGGTGGACGGCGAATGGTAGGAATGCTATCAAATACATTTAAATATCTCATCAGACACATTTCAGGCTACTTTTCTCCCAACCGCAACCAGTGTTGCACGTGTGTGCTGGGGGATGTGCAATCGGCGGATGATACCAATACGACCGCTCAGGCACTGGCGCAACGCTGCCCAACCGGAAACGATAACATACAGCTTTGCGCCACAGAGCTCGCTCTGAGACGGCTCCTGTAAATTTCGTCATGTCAGAGAAACTGATTTACAATCTGCCATTCAATACGGATAAAGTTGGCATCACCGTTGCTACAGAACGTCTGACGCAGTGAAACAGTGAAAAAAAATCCAGTTCCTGAAAATTTTACGCCAGAGGGGCCATTTCATTTCGCTCAAATCAATCTGCCATGCACTACGGATAAACTTAAGGCGACCATGGCTACTTTGCGGAACATGTGAAAGACTGATGATAGCCACGAGATGCTCAAACGTCTCTCGTCGTCCGCTTGATGGCCTGTTATTTGCTTTTATGTTATTGTTGAAGAGAGTTGGATTCCCGGCAGCCTGGTGGATACCGCGATTGTGCCTCTTCTTAAACCAAGCAAGAACGGCTCAGGTCAAAGACCCTCCACTTTCACCTCGTCACTATGTAAGTTGATAGAAAAGATGGGAAACATGATGCTGTCGTCGCGTTTTCTGGAGAAAGGCATGCTAAATGATGTCCAATGCGTTTTAGAAAGCATCATAGCACAGCGAATCCGACACTTTACGCCAACAACAGCACCATATGGTAATAACCTATGTTGACGCTCAGAGGGCTTTTGATTCAATATGGTGTGATCACATTTTGGTCAAGCCTTTTAAGCATGGGATTCGTGGTCCTATGTCGATTATCTTCATTCCAGAGCTTTCTGTTGGATCGTTTTCCCGTAAAGACTGGTTATCATTTCTGATATTTTTATTTACAGGTGGATGCAATACAAGGACGTGTTCTAAGCACGCCATTATTTATCACCAAGTTTAATGACGTTGAGCTACACTTCTCAAATCCATGGGCCGATCTCTGCTTGCTGACAATTTTGGCATCTGGTCGCCTGCATTTAAAGCAACAGCTATGGAAGAACAGCCCCAGACGGCTGTAACGCGTATGAGGGCTGGAGTGCGCACAATAACTCCGGTCGTCGACCGAAAGGCGCTGTTCACTTACGCGGACGTCGGAGCTGTGCGCAATTTACACAATCGGCAGCACAGACAGTTTCTCAACCCGAGCCGAGTGGGCGTTTCCCCGGGATTTAGCTCGATAGTCGTGCGACGTAACGGCAACATGTTAAAACTAACACGGAAAGACGCTTAGAATCGCTAAACACTTCAACACGTCTTGCACGAGCATCTTACGGGCCGGCAGAAAAACACCTTTATTATTGTATCGTAGCCTGATACGCTCCAGGCTGAATTATGACTGTTTTAAATGCAATGCTGGCTCAGAGTCTGGAATGTGGCACCTGGGACGTGGTTCGTAACACTACGTTACGAATTATCGCTGCAGGTTATTGCTGCCCTTCGCACGTGTCAGACAGCTTGCTTACTTATAAAAATCAACGAGTCACCGCCAGCATTCCGAAGGAAGTCGCTGGGCATACGGTAAGCTTGCAGATTGACGCTGTTTCCAAATCACTCAAAACGTAGTGATGTGGTGTCGCGCCGTGCATTCAGCGTTTTTCAGGGCGATTGCGGGGCGCCGCGTCGTTCTGTATGCGCGTTTGTGACGTCCTTCGTGTGATAGCGGTCTGAGTCTTCCGGGTATGAGGCGATCACGCTGCCTGCCAACCCTTCCGAAGGCGCCTGGTATCACCAGTCGTCGACGTGTCTTTGACGCAGGTTCAGAAGCAGAATATGAATCCATGTGTTGCTAGACAAACAGCCTTGCACCGTATCTGATCGCATTAGAAGTACACAACGCATACACGGAGGTTCCAAAACAGATACAGGCGTTGGCTGCAAATTGTGCGACCCGACTACCTGCCCCAGGCCGGAAAGACCGCGGCACTGTGGTGGATTCCGATGACGATGATTTGGGCTTACGGACGTACCGACTACGATGGTCATGTGGGGTCTACTGTGCTGGACTCCGAACCACGCGAAAATCGCTCGATGTGATCTGATTGCTGCCGCCGCGAAACGTGCTACGCCACGCGCAAGGACGTTTCCAATAGCAAATAGAGAAGATAGAATGATGAGGAAAAGACCACCGTCATTACGCTTCACGACAGCCGCACAGGCTGTCGTGAAGGGCACCTCACCCGTCACCCCCGGTGCCCACACATCAACGCCACGGTAGTTGTGCGCATTCACCTGATGTGCAAACATTTTTTTTTTCTTCAATGGAACCTGCGCGCCTCTGTCTTTTTGCGTTCCAACGCCCGCCTGCCGGGGACTGGCACACCACGTGCCCTGCTGCCGCACCGAGGCCCGGTGCCGCGCACGCCCGCCTGTTCAGATATCGGCATGCCACCTGGACTGCCGCCTCCCGGCGCCGCGCACGCCCGCCTGTTCAGATATCGGCATGCCACCTGGACCGCCGCCTCCCAGCGCCGCGCACGCCCGCCTGTTCAGATATCAGCATAACACCTGGACCGCCGCCGCACGGCGCCGCGCACGTCCGCCTGTTCAGATATCGGCATGCCACCTGGACTGCCGCCGCACGGCGCCGCGCACGCCCGCCTGTTCAGATATCAGCATAACACCTGGACCGCCGCCGCACGGCGCCGCGCACGTCCGCCTGTTCAGATATCAGCAAAACACCTGGACCGCCGCCGCACGGCGCCGCGCACGTCCGCCTGTTCAGATATCAGCATAACACCTGGACCGCCGCCGCACGGCGCCGCGCACGTCCGCCTGTTCAGATATCAGCAAAACACCTGGACCGCCGCCGCACGGCGCCGCGCACGCCCGAATCCAACTTCCACTGAATCAGATATTCGTTTTGATAACGGGTCTGAGATGAATGCAAGTACGACATGCTAATCAACAATGTTGTTTCAGAAATCGACTCTACATAGCACGCGGCTCGGGCACACAGCATATACCGCGCCCTGCGAAACAGCGCGCTGTTGTTCGTTTACACGGTAGTTCTACTTTGGACCAAACAAATAATTCGCGAAGGCTGGCGCATCAACCGTCCAAACAAGAGCTAAGCCTTTTGATGCGTGCAACAACGCATGAGCGCGAAAATATCACGGTCGGAAGCGAATGAACCACGACCTTCTCCTCAGTCACATGCCTCAGTCTACTCCCACCTGAAAACATTAGATCCGGCTTCGTTAATACGAATCAAAACACAACCAAAAGTTGTAAAATGTATTACATTGTGGGAGGCCTGAGGCACACCGAGACAAAAGTAAAATCATGAACAATCACAATGCGGTCCAAACATGTTTAGCAGCCGTCAATGAACTCGAAGACGTCTGCATTTCATCCGACAGACGACAGCTAAAAGCCCGGCAGGACTTGACTGCGTCCCGCCCTCAGGGCGTCGCGCGCGCTGCCATCAGCGCAAGCGTTCGGCGCCACTGTCAGAGCCGCCCCCGCCTGTTTCCGCCGCGTCCTCGGCGCCGGGGTCGCCCTCCTTGGCCGGTTCTCCCTCAGCGCCGCCCTGGCCGGCATCACTCGGCTGCCGCTGGCCACCGTCGGCGTCCCCGCCGACCCGCGCGGCCGGCGCTCCGCCCTCGCGGGCCGACAGCGCCAGCGAGCGCTGGATCTCGCGACCGATGGCGGCGGCCATCGGCGGCGGTACGGCGTTACCGATCTGTGGACACGACAGAGCGGCCCGGTGACGGCGCCATCGCCATCGCCCAGCCGCGAACGCCCGGTGACGCACTGCACGTCTCGCTGGGGCTAAATTCACGCGCGCAGTAGCTTCGTACTTCAGCTTGCATTACCGCGATTCAACGCATTCGACTGTCCAAATCCGGACGGTGCACCAGCTTCTCCCCCCTCCCCTCAGTCCAAGCGTCGCAAGGCCGCGGTTACCTGTCGGTGCTTCTCGAGCGTGCTGCCGAAGAACCGGTACGAGTCCGGGAAGCCTTGGGATCGGGCACACTCGCGCACGCTAACCACGCGGTGCTGCTCCGGATGCAGCACGCGACCCTGCCGGTTCAGGTTCAGGTCAGGTCAGGTCAGGTCGGGTTAGGCCAAGCCAGGCCAAGCCAAGTCTGGCGGGACCTTGGTCGACCACCAGTGAGCCAACAGCAGGCTTAACACGGCGCGCGGAGCGTTGGCATGTCAATGGCGTGCCATTGCACTATTCACCGGCTCGACCACAAAGACGTCAAGCATTATTGGGATTATGCAGCCGACTGAACCAGTGAACAAATAGAACTTTACCGAGCGTAACGTAATCCGAGCTTGACGCATGACCGCATCAGGTGTGTTCAGTGTAACCCCCCTCCCCCGCGCGCGCGGTTGGTGCGCCAGCGCCGCGTCCGTGCCCGGCTGGATGCGCCAGCCGCGGCCAGCACATCGCCGAGCTGGGGCGCGTCCGCGGCTCCGCCGTCGGCCGCCGCCGCCGCCCCGCACCTGCTTGCCCATCGGCTCGGGGTTGGTGACGGTGGTGGAGAAGAAGCCGTCCCACTCGAGCCGCCCGTACAGGCCGGCCCAGTGGTTGTGCCTGTTGCCCGTGTGTGGCAGGCACCAGGGCAGCAGAGTGCCGTACTGCCGGTCGGCCGGGTCGCAAGGCCGGCCGGCCGCGCATGCGCACACGCCGCGCAGCCGGCCGCCGGCCGAGCGGCCGTTCTTCTTGTCGTGCTGTGTGTAGAGCCTGGCGGCGGGGCGTGGGCGGTCAGCACGCCCCCGGCCGGCCACCCGTCACCGGAGCGGGGGGCGCCGCCGGCCGTCCCACCCCCGGCGCAGCGTCTGGTGCCGTCCAACATGACCGGAGGGGCCCGACGGCGCGCCGTAAAGCACGGATTACACGGCGCCGGCCACGTATCGGCGACACATCACGGCCTCCTGTCCCCGCGAGGACGCCGGAGACGACCTCGACAGCAGGCTCTGGACTGCAGCCACGCCGGCAGCGGCAGCGGCAGCAGGCAAGGGGAGGGGGCACTCAGGAGCACACGTCACCTCTGTCGAGACCGGCGCAGGCCGCTGCAAAGCTGTCAGCCCTGGATGGATCGCTAATCCACATAGCAACAGATTACAGGCCCTACCAGCTGTGCGGTCATATGGCCTGAAGGTCATTACAGCACCAATGCTGAAACCGGGAGTTTGTAGCCTAATGATGGATCCCCCCCCCCCCCCCCCGGAAAAATACAAGCTGTTGCAACGCCTTTTAACCAGCCCGAAGAATTAAGCCATCGTCAGAACCCAACACAGGGATACATGCAGGTCCGGTAGCTGCGTAGAGACATGCATGCTACAGTAACAACCTAGTAACCCCTAGAAACCCGAAATGAGAACAACTTTGAGGTGATGCGTGTGCGCCGGGTCCACGCTTTTCGTATGGGCATACCACACATGCGACGGATTCCGCCCTTCCGCGATGAACGCTCGGTATAAAGAACTAAACTTATGCAAACCCATTTTCAGAAACTAGAAACTTAACAACATTTTTGGGAGCGTTTTCCGAAACACAAGCCTTCACAATTTTATACCAACCACGATAAACCTGTAAACCTACCGCGGTCAAGATGTCCAACAGACATGTCCGAGATGTCAGTAGCCTGCTTGAACGAGTCACCATGCGTCGGCCACGTAACCTACCCTTCTATCATCTCAGCTGAGGGTTTCACAACAGGCGGGTCGGGCCCGTGCTCTGGCCTGCCGGTACCCGCCTGACCACCTCCAGCCCCCCCCCCCCCCCCCTCGGACACCACCCCGCGCCCGGTCGGCGCTCCCACCACTCACAGGAGGCGCGAGGTGGTGCCATCGCTGAGGCGGACTGCCAGGTTGGGCAGGTCGCGCCAGTCGCTGCCCGGCGCCGTCGGCACGTGGCGGATGCGCGCTGCGATGAGTGGCGCCATCTCCTTGCACACGTGGTCGCGCAGCAGCGCCGTCTCCTGGCCGGCCCGCATCTGCGGCAAGAGGCGGCGGTGACGGCTGGCTCGTCATGGCCCCGGAGGGGGGTGCGTCAGGGCGCGGTCCGAAGCCATCGCAGCAGGCGCCACAGCGTGTTCGGCGAGTGTGTCGCCCACGGCTCTGTGACTATATCCGACTGGGTACGTAGCAGAGATATGATCAGGTCCTGCTGAAGACCCTTTCAAGGCCAAGGACCTGAAATTAAGGTCCTTTCGCATTGCATGATGCCTAAAATAATCGAGATATGGATGGAAAGAAAATATGTTGATGGCTTTGTCTTTGCCGTTATGCTGTGACGATATGCTCATTATTCGAGCATGATTTCGGAAAGATCAGGCGAAACAAGACCGGAGTCCAGTAACATAACGAGGTGTCATACGCTCTTCTAGGTGTCATATGATAGCTCAGTTGGGTGCAACAGCAAATCACCCGTCTCTGGGCATAGCTCAGTTCCCTTCTGGCGCTTCCCAGTCATGCATCTTCGTAAATATTCCTACTTCTGATCGCGTTTAGTATTTTTGGCCATCTTTAAACAATGTATGCAACGTAAATCGCGAAGATCCAACCAGACGTGACTTTAGTTTTGCGGGTGTAACGACGCATTGAACCCCAAACGTTATCAAGTGTCGTTTTACTTCGAGCTGATCACTGCGAAACTGTTGGCACAGAGCCAGCCTTGAACCCTGCCCGTCACTCGGCACGTGCAGCCAAGCGGACGCTCGCCCTCCTGGCGCCCCACCCTCCGCCTGCGCCTTTGTAACCGCCACTGGCGCAGGCAAACAGGCCACGAGCACCGCCCGGCACGCACCACTCTCTGGAAGTGCGAGCTGGCGTCGCGGTCGTACGGCATCTGTTCGTGCTTCTCGCCGTTCAGGATCTCTGGCAGGTCAGACATGGCGTCCCGCACAGTCACAGTCCGGTATGGCGCCGACTGCGACCACCGGCACGTGGGCGCGTACTGCAACACCGCGTCCTCAGGTCAGCCGGGGTGCGCGCTGCGCATGTCAAATGTCATCTGGGTGAGGGCACACTGAATACCGGCGCCACTGCAGACAGCCAACGACAGCCACCGACAAAGACAGCCTATGTGGTGGGTTTTATGACCAGCATCCCAAATCCTTAGATGATTGGTACTTAACAAGTTGTTCGACGTTCAAATCCGCAGGTTATCACACGTCATGCTGCACGTTGTCGTTTAAGAGCGGTGGATCACGGGGCAGTGCCCGTCCGCCGTTGTCCGTGAGCCGTTTCGCCGTCCATACCTTGGTGTCCTCCATGACCACGGCCAGCGAGGAGGCCCTCAGCGAGAACACGTGCTGGGGCTCCGGGTGCAGGGGCAGGCGGAAGCCGGGCGCCGAGGCCATGATGATCGCCCTACCGAGTAAGGCACCGTCAGACTCGTCAGTGACGTACGGTGGCGGGCCATAGCGCCGCCAGCAGAGCGGCGCATGCCACGCATAAGCCCCAGACGATACACAACTGCCATGCGATCCCAATGTTAACGCGGCGACCAGAAACTTCCCATCAATAGACGGGTGTGATCTGCGCAGATGACGGACTGCATGATGTCAGAGTGGTGCCGGCTGAGGTCCCCGGCGCGTGACCGACCTGCGGCGCGTCTGAGGGACGCCGTAGTTGCCCGCCTGCAGTACACCAAAGCCGCACTGATAGCCCATCTTCAGCAAACAGGCCAGCGTCAGCTTCAGCACCATGTTGGCCTTGTAGGAAACGAAGTTGCGCACGTTCTCCAGGATGAAATATTTTGGCCGGTAGAAGTCGCAGAAGCTCAAGAAGCTGACGATCAGCGAGTTCTGCGGAAAAGTGCTCCAGTAACAGAGAGCCCGGCAAGTTCCAATTGCTCAACAATCCTGTGGACCAGCTCTACAACGCAACCTATCTTGCAGTTGTCACCTCTTCCCTGTGCTTCAGCAACATGCAATTCAGCGTGATATGGAACAGCGAATAGAACAGCAGCGTAGTGAGGTGGAACAACAAACTAACAGTATGGTAGAAAGCTCACTCACGCCCCTCTGCCGAAAGTCGTGGGTTCAGGTTTAACATCAGTCCAGTGTTTCGTAGTCTGCATTACATGTCGACGTTAAGTGACGACCGCAATTCGTCATCAAATAACCCAGAAACTGTTCCAATGAAATGCAAGATAATTCAAGTCGCACAACAGTAAAACAAACTGAAGGAGCTTTTTCGGGGAGTGGCGCAGCATCGCGACGGTAAAGCAAGCCTTCGGACCACGCGTTGAAAAAGGCTGCGGATGTGGGAAACCGCAGAGATACACGAGGCCGTGTAGGGGGGTCACGATTTAAACACGGCACACACACCCTGGAACCGGCGCGCGTCACAGCGGGTACCTTGAACTGCGAGTACTGTCGGGAGTTGAAGCGGTTCATGCCGGAGAAGCCCTGGCACGGCGGCCCGCCGCACAGCAGGTCCACCTCCCCCGGCTTCGGCAGCCGCTGGCCGCTGGCGTTCTGCTCTGCACCCTGCAAACGTCACAGGAAAAGGGAATGTTGGGACACACTCAGTGACAGACCGAGTGAGTCTCTTGCGCACAGCAAGTGATTTAAACATTATGCCAACAGTGATATCCCAAGTGGATTCGTGCAATTTGTCCGTGCCATGTGAATCAGGAAAAAGACCTCGTACTCGGACACCGTTGGAACAGCCATGCAGCAGTGACATGTAAGTGAATCTTTTGCGATGGTGACCCTATACAAATATCCTGCCCCTGCGACATGCGAGCCCTCTGCAACAGCGACAAGTTGTGCGAGTCTGTTGAAATAACGGTGCGTCGTGCGACTTTTCCTGCGACGACGGCTCATCAAAGGGGACAGTGGCACATCATCACTTTTCTGCGGCGGCAGCGTCTCAGTCACAGCCTCAACATAAGGACAGAAGTTATAATGTGAAGTTACCAGGCTCCAAACACGCCTGCGAAATGATTATCAGACACACCACAGTCGTCTAGTACCAGAACATTCTCTAAGGTTAAATTCCCTCACAAATTAACAGCTGCACCAATTTGTGCAAGTTCCCATCAGCGGCCATGACGGCTGCCTGGTTGGGGATATCATGGCTATAGAGCCCAGGGCTACAGAGCCCTGTCCGGGAGGTGGCCGGCACCAGCTGGCGGACCGGCCCCGGCCTCACGTCTATGGCCAGCTGCAGCAGGTGGTTGCAGTCCTCCGAGAACACCGTGGCCTGCGGGTTGTTGAGCCGGTACGCGTTGGCCGCCGGCTGGTTTATTTCGATCGCCCATTGGCTGAAAACCGACAAAACGGTCAGCCCGCATGGTGATCATCCCGCGTAGAGCGACGTGACAAACAGCGACAGATATTACGGAAAGGCCCCTTTTCACCACATCCACGATGTAATCTACTATACATAATCTTGGATTGTTATATTCAATACATAAACCCAACTGGTCACACACACACACACACACACACACACACACACACACACACACACACACACACACACACACACACACACACACACACACACACACACACACACACACACACACACACATATATATATATATATATATATATATATATATATATATATATATATATATATATATATATATATATATATATATATATATATATCTATATACATATAAACGCGACAGAAACGTGACACAGACGCCCCTTCCTTCCGACAGACAGTGACGCCTGCCAGGCCGCCCCCCAGCCCCGCCCTCACCTGACGGCCACGCCCACTTGGTGCAGTCCGGCGGAGAGGCCGCCGCAGCCGGCGAACACGTCGAGCGCGCGGAGCGGCGCCACGACCGGGTGTTCGGGCGGCGGCGGCACCGCCCGCTGCGCCGCCGCACCCTTACCCTTGCCCTGACCCTGCGGCACAGGCGGCAGTTAGCGGCCGGCGCGAGCGAGGTGCACCAGCACGCGCTGGAGCTGGCGGAAAGGACCGCGTGCGACGAGTCAAGCGTGACAACACAGCCGATCGTGCGGCGGTACGGGTGTCAGGGGCACTGCCCGTCAGAGCCGTCGGCCGTGCTCAGACTGAGCAAAACAGACCCACAAGCACAGGACAAATACAGCAGAGAGCAGCAAATGGCTTCCCACATTTGACAGCCAGCGGGCACGACAGGGAGGGGATACGCCAAACCGTGCATGTTTACATGTAAAATAAATTTATAAGCCCATGTGTTCATCCTATGCTACACAGAGCCTCCAGGTGCAACTGCTTTCTGGTACAGTCACTACGTACAGCCATCTCTAGGCATGATCAGTGCCGGTACAGCCAATCTCCAGGTACAGTCTCTCCCACATAAAGCCATGCCCTAGGACCGTCAACAAGCGCAGCCGTCCCTCTGTACACAGACAGCCTCCACCGCACCTTTCTGAGGAGTCCCATGCGTTTGGCGGCCGGCGGCGGCTCGGTGAAGCTCTTGCCGTCAGCGTCGTACGCCTCGAGGAAGTAGAAGCGGTGAGGTCCACAGCGGCGGTACTCCTCCGGCGAGCAGGTCAGGTTGCCACCGTACACCACGTGACACTTGCCCATCACGTGACCGAACGCCACCGACACCTCTGGCGGCGCGAGGCGGCCGGCGTCAGCGGGCGCCCGCCACGTGTCGTCGAGTTTACTCGAGAGGCACGGTTCCGAGGCTTGCAAACATTACGAAGAACATCAGTCCCTTGTCTTCATCTCGACACTATCAATGCATAACGACAGAAGCGTCACACAACCCACACGGTATCTTCATGTAGTGGCGCACGCTCTACACCGAGGGCCCCAGCACATCCGGACATCTCACTGCCATTGGAGCTGCACGGCGCCACGGCAGGCCGCTCACCCTCGCTACTGTAGTAGATCATGTGCAGGTCGCTGTGCTGCGAGCCCTCCGTGCCCCGGAATGTGTCCTCTCCTCGGTAGAACTTGGTCACGCGGAGGAAAACGTCGCCCGCCTCCGCGTTGCTCCCTGCGGCGCAGACGCTCTCGGTAACGTTCGGCCAGAGCCACGCCAGATAACGCCGTGCTGCTATTGATCGTAGCCGTTGATTGATACCGGGCTGCCGCGTAAGTTTACTAACTGGCAAATCATTTACAAAAGGCGACTCCTCACCGACATTAGATGAGTTGGTCGCTTAAGGCTTAATGCTGTCTGAACTCTGGACACGAAGGTGCGGGTGTACCAGTGCGAGATCTTCCCAAACCGCAAAGCGAGTTGAAAGCTAGGGCATCACCATCATCTCGGCGAACGATCAGGAAAAGGCAAACAACTGACACCAATACAAGACCAAGGTCGAGTCGTCCTATTGGGCGTCACCTGTTCTGTTCGTGAAGATGCTGCTGATGCGGCCGATGCGGAATGGGTCCGGCGTCTCCTCGTTGGAACCCTTCACGTAGCTGGTGGCCTTGCGGTAGTATTCAGGGTAGAGTTCCTCGTCCACCTGACGGGAACAACCGAACAGCTAGTTATGGACAGCTATTGACGAAGACCTACCATTGGCGAGCGTGCAACAAATGTCCAGGGCTGTCAACTGGTTGCGACAATGACGCCTGCTTTCCTCGCACTGCCAATCCGCCTCGCTCTGAGAACAATTGGCGACAGAGCCTGCGTTTGGAGCCGGCCGCATCCGCGCCTCTCTCCAGCACGCGTGGCGCATCTCGCCACCACGATACCTGCGAAACGTCGCACGTCTTGGCTGTCTTGACCCAGGCCTGCCGCCGGCGCAGAGAGAAGGCGGCGGGGTCCAGGAAGACACACTCGCCCACCGAGTATGTCTCGCCGCCGCAGCGCACCTGGCCGAAGCGCGTCTGCCGAGAGCGAGTGGTCATCGGCCGGGGACGCGAGACAGGGCGGGGAGAGAGCGACGCTGGAGACAGGACGTCTCACGCCAGGGACTAGACGCTGATGAGTGATTTGACTGGATGATATTCATGTAAGACTTTGTAAGTAGCAAATAATGTCGCTACTCATGAGTGACATGGTCGCCGCAACAATGCAGAACGGGCGAAATGCTCATCTAAATAATGAAGAGAATAACCATGATGAGAAGTTGGGCTTTGGGTGTGAGAATAAGTAGACAAATACAGTGCGCTGACGGAAGATACACAACTTCTGTGAGAGCATGAGCACGTGTACGATCAAGACCAAGAGAAAGACCAAGAGGCGGCGAGGCGGAGAGGCGGAGAGGCGAGGAGGCGGAGAGGCGAGGAAGCGAGGAGGCGAGGAGGCGGTAAGACACACAGACAGACAGACAGAAAGGAAGAAAGAACAAAAAGAAATAGAAAAAGAGAGAGAGAGAGAGAGAGAGAGAGAGAGAGAGAGAGAGAGAGAGAGAGAGGGGAGAGAGAGAGAGAGAGAGAGAGAGAGAGAGAGAGAGAGAGAGAGAGAGAGAGAGAGAGAGAGAGAGAGAGAGAGAGAGAGAGAGAGAGAGAGAGAGAGAGAGAGAGAGAGAGAGAGAGAGAGAGAGAGAGAGAGAGAGAGAGAGAGAGAGAGAGAGAGAGAGAGAGAGAGAGAGACCTACCTCGTTCCTCCCTGGCTCGTCATCCATTCGGCTCTCCACGGCGGGCACCTTGCTTAGCTCCACCAGACGGAGCTGCTCACAGAACGGGCAGAAGTTGAGCCGGCCGTCGATGGCCACCGGCTCCGCCGCCACGTCCTCAAACCGGCCGTGCTCCGGCCGGTACCTGACCAGGGGTCGACGGACTGATGACGGCCAGCACCGGTCACAGCCCAATGGCCAGGCCATGAGCTAGCATGCCAGGACAGTGTTTCACAGCCCGAGAGCGCGGAACGCCTTGAAGTGCTCCAGTCAGCAGCCACGGACTCGCTGGCTGGCACCCTCCTTGTTAGATGTCAGGGCGGGGTGAAATAGATCTAGGCATCAGAAACACTAATGACTGTAGACAATTTAGCAAGGTGAGATGCCAGGTTTAGCTTTGATGAGATAAATCCAAGGCAAACTCGCATAAAAAGACAGAGCAATGCAACTTACGCAAAACACGTGTACAAATGCAGATCAATAGTACTGTGACATCCCAAAGTCGTTAAGTCAACTTACTTTTTCTGGAACCAGAGCGTATCCGACTCGTTCTCTGGTACGTGGAACGACTCGCGCTGCTGGAACCAGCAGCGCGCGTCGCTCCGATCCAGGACTCGCGCCTGCCGGACCGGGGTCAGCTGTCACGCGTAAGGAGGTGTAGCACACGGCAGACACACACGGCTGTCACGCGCAGGCAGGTGTAGCACACGACAGACACACACGGCTGTCACGCGCAGACAGGTGTAGCACACGGCAGACACACACGGCTGTCACGCGCAGGCAGGTGTAGCACACGACAGACACACACGGTTGTCACGCGCATGCGGCCAGAACGGAGCACAGCTGCGGAGCGGAACAGGGCAGGGGGCACGCCGAGTTGCCAATGACGGAGGTGTCGACACTGCATGTGCTGACCTTGCGTGTGATAGACTCGGCTGCGTGTGCTGACCTTGCGTGTGACGGACTCGGCTGCGTGTGCTGACCTTGCGTGTGACGGACTCGGCTACGTGTGCTGACCTTGCGTGTGACAGACTCGTCTGCGTGTGCTGACCTGGCGTGTGACGGACCCCGCTGCGTGTGCTGACCTTGCGTGTGACGGACTCGGCTGCGTGTGCTGACACTGCGTGTGATGGACTCGACTGCGTGTGCTGACCTTGCGTGTGATGGACTCGAGGGGCATGTCCTCACACTCGTCCGTGACGAACAGTTCGGCAGGGTCGGCCGTCTCTCCAAGCAGGGTCTCCTGGCCCCGGCTGCAGCGGAACGGTACACACTGGTCAGGTCAACATGCCAAGGAGCACGGCTCTGGATCCACAACAGACCTGCTTAGTCCAGTGGACAGCAGCAGAACAGTCGATATATCGCACCGATAAAAATGATATCATTCTCATTTTACGAAAGTTTCGTAAAGGCGAGGTGTGTGTAGTGGGAACACGTATTTCATCATGTGTCCAAAGGGGCAGAAAAACGTAAAAAATAAACGGAAAACGACAACACGCAAAAATAAACTTCGAATAACTGCACGTATCCAGCAGCCGAATTTACACCATTGCGAAATACCGTAACAAGACAAGTGAAATTTTGCGGGAAACGCCCTAGATTATAAATGCTAACATCTAGGGAGACACTGGCGGCTGTACCCCAGGAACGAACGACATGCTTCAGAGCAGGGACGGTGTTCACGTGTCCGCTGCGGGCGGCACTGACCAGAACCAGGCGGCGTGGTAGCAGCGCTGTCCGGAGGCCGTCTCCCACATGTACACTAGTCGGGCCACGTACGGCAGCTGGCCGGCCGCCTCGGCCTCCACCACCACACAGTCACCCGCCGACAGACGCTCGCCGTTGACATCCACCGAGCTGGGGGCGGCGCCGGCCGGTCAGCACACGCCAGCTGGCCGGGCGGCACACGCCAGCTGGCCGGGCGGTACACGCCAGCTGGCCGGGCGGTGCACCCCAGCTGGCCGGGGCGGTACACGCCAGCTTGCCAGGCCGGTATACGCCAACTGGCCGGGCGGTACACGCCAGCTGGCTGGGCGGTACACGCCAGCTGGCGAGGGCGGTACATGCCAGATGACCAGAGCGATACACGCCAGATGACCAGAGCGGTACACGCCAGCTGGCGAGGGCGGTACATGCCAGATGACCAGAGCGGTACACGCCAGCTGGCCAGAGCGGTACGCGCCAGCTGGCCGGGGCGGTACACGCCAGCTGACCAGAGCGGTACACGCCAGCTGACCAGGGCGGTACACGCCGGCTAGCCAGGGCAGTACACGCCAGCTGACCAGAGCGGTATACGTCAGCAGGCCAGGGCGGTACACGCAGGGCACGCACAATTCACCGCCCACAGCCAAAACCAGCCGCCTGCCGTATGAAGATGCCAGCCCCGAAGAACAGTGGTAAAGTTAAGCACACAAGCGCGTACACGTTTGACAAATGGCTCCTGTCGCGTCACCCACGTGAACTACCACAAAACTACACCACTTTGTTGGCAAGCAGCTGCTTCGCTGCCACCCACGGCTCTACCGGCGGCCGTGCCGCACAGCCGCCGCTTGCTCTTACCTGTAGTAAGTCCTGGCGGCGTGGGTACCGCGCGGCTCGCCGGCCCAGCTCGTACTGAGGGAGTGGCGCCGCACGCGGTGTGTTCGCTCCGCCGCCGCCAGCGCCGCCGTCCTCGTCGAGTCGTCCTCCTCGTCCTCACCGCCGTCAGAGTCCTCCGCCTCCTCAATCGCCATGTTTGGACACCTGGCGATGGCAGTTGGAACACAAGTCACGGCCATGGCCCTCGTCTTCGCTCGTCATGGCATCCACGTGCGCACGTCGGCACCAGTACTGACGTCACACGCGTGATGCTGAACCCCGTTCGGCACTTGCGGGTTTTCGTTGAATGCTATTTCTCCGACAAGACGCTAGCAGCAACAACTACAAGAACAAAAACGAAAAATCAGGACAACATCGCGCCACAGTTACAAGCCTGATGTAACACAGCTGGTGATTCAGGTATCAATTTTCTCCACTCGTTTAGCCATCGCAGTCCTCCGTCATTTCAAGAGGTGTTACCTGCAGTTGGTGCAGCACTCTTGACCTGCGCCTGGTGCAGCTCTGTGGTGGTGCATTGCACGGGCACTGACGAAAGCGGACGGCGGCAACGCTCATCGTACGGTTGGTGCAGCACCGCTTACCGTGCCGTTGGTGCAGCACTGCTTACCGTGCCGTTGGTGCAGCACTGCTTACCGTGCCGTTTGGTGCAGCACTGCTTACCGTGCCGTTGGCGCAGCACTGCTTACTGTGCCGTTGGTGCAGCACTGCTTACGGTGCCGGTGGTGCAGCACTACTTACGGTGCCGTTGGCGCAGCACTGCTTACCTGTCGTTGGTGCAGCACTGCTTACCGTGCCGTTGGTGCAGCACTGCTTACCGTGCCGTTGGTGCAGCACTGCTTACTGTGCCGTTGGTGCAGCACTGCTTACCGTGCCGTTTTGCAGCACTGCTTACCTGTCGTTGGTGCAACACTGCTTACCGTGCCGTTGGTGCAACAGTTCTTGCCTGCCGTTAGTGCAGCACTGCCTACCTGCGGTTGGTATATCCCTACTTACCTGCGGTTGATGCAGCACTGCTTGCTCCGGCCGCTGCCGCCGAACTTCACCATGTCGCGGCAGTGTTTGCAGTCGCCGCAGTCGGGCTGCTGGCAGGCCTCACACACCCCACAGCGCGTGCGGCGCGGCCCCTGCTTCAGCTGCCAGCGGGGGGAGGACGCTCAGCGGAGGACGCGGCGCTCGCACGAGACGGGGCACGCGGCAGACGACATGAACGTGACGTGAGAAAGGAAGGGGGACGCTGACAGCTCCCACAGCCGCGCAAAGCACCAGCGATATCACAAGGAGCTCATTTTCTGGGCTGCTACACGACAGCACGGTAGAAAATTGGTTCATGCATCACCTGACGTACAGAGATGCATGGACGTAGAAGGCTGGTGATCAGAATAAAACGGACGGTTCCACAGAAGACTCTCCTGATGGCTTTACCCCCGACATGGCGGCTGACCTTTTAACAGCAAGCTACCCTGTGTCTACGAACCAGCTAAGCTCGTCGGCCATTCATTCCGCAATCCGCCAACCCAGGGCCATCCACTTGCCTTATCGTCGTTTTGGATCTGTCCCTTGAAGAAGTTCTCAAACAGTTCAGAGACCAGCGACGTCGTCGTTGCTTTGGTGAGAGGCGCGGCCGCTACCTTCTTCACTCGCGTCACTTTAGGATCGCTCGGCTGCAATTGTAAATGGAACCCCGTTGCATTTGAGAACCCTTCAGCCCAGCCGGACAAGAGTGACGTAGCCATTTTAAACAGCAGCTTCAGTTTGAAAACCCGCTCAAACAACACAGCACCTAAGCCCACTCGTCACATCGACTCAACAATTGGTTTACCAGTCTACATCATCCACGGTGCCATGCCAAGTTCATGACAATCAGAGTGATGAACCGTTGTACCACCGTGAACACTGGAGCGACCCAGTTGTAGCCGTTGCTCATTAGAGCCAATCATCTCACTTCATGATGCCTATGTGCATATATGGTGCGAATGCCTACCCCCCCCCCCCCCCCTCCTAACCATGTGCACCGTTTGAGTGTCGTTTTTTCGGCAGCATCTAGTGGAACGCGTCCCTCCGTTTGTGACACCACCACGGCCATCACGTACCGTTTTCCGAGCGTGACGCCGGCCAGCCGGATGAGGGCGCGTACACAGGCGGTGGTGAGTAGCTGCGCCTCCTCGTCACCGCCAGCCAGGTCGAAGCTCTGCACCTGGTCCACCACGAACTGGGCGTGGCGCAGCAAGCAGTCCTCCGTGAAGGCGTCCGTACCCAGGCCAGACGGCGGCACTGTAATCTGTGGAACGGAGCACAGAGAGCCATGGGTGAGGCGGGGATATGGTGACGTCAGGATTCGGGCCCTGCGGTCACGGTCTGACCCGGGACCTCAGTGCAATTGTCGGGGACGATCGGATCGTCAGACCCCCCCCCCGTGAGGCACTACATTTCCGTGGTGCGGGGATTGCGTGCCCCAATGACCCTGCGGGCGGTTGAGGAGACTTGTAAAGCGCCCCTTCCGGCCAAAGAGGAAGGGCCAGACGAAACGTGCCTCCCGCAAGAGCTCTGACTCGTTCAGAGTAGGGATTAGCAACCCCTCGGCCCCAGCTTTTCAGTCTTATCTGGGTCTCGCCGTACCCCGTTGGATCCGCAGGTAGCGATGAAGGGATCCTGGTCACTGAGGGAGTTGCCCTGCGGGTCAGTCGGGGCAGCTTACCAACACGTGGCTTTGGCGTGAATTTGTGATCCTGCGGATACCTCGTGAAGTCTCCACACGAGGAAATCCGCTGGCCAGGCGTCGTGTTTTCGTGACACTGGCTTGGAGGCAAGCAGGTCATGTGACGGGTGTTGAGGGGGGAGCTGCCGGGTGCAGTGTCTGCCTCCTGACATCATTAAGGGGCCGTACCTCGGTTTGTCACCAGGGTGCCTGGTTAGCACCTGCGAACCGAGGCACTGGCGCCCGCAGACACGTGCCCGGTGGCTCTCGCAGCAACTCTTTTGGCACACTGGCCTGCGTATAGCGTGCTGGTAGCCCTGGCGGCTCCTCTCTTAGAAGTGGACCGTCCCCGTGTTGGGCTCCGTGGTGGGCGGGGAATCAGAGCGCCGATTATAAACACATACTTATGGACACTTTATCATCAACCAACCCCCCAAACCCCGATCGTCGTCCACTACCCCAGTTTCTGGTCGTAAGATCCGCCAAAGTAGATGACCAAGGAAGGACAGTACCGCTCCGACTAAACCCATTTCAGCGCCAACAAGCATTTTCCAAGATCGGGACGCCCAAGGATGTCTTTTCGTATGCGGACGGAGGCATAGAAGTGCATCTAACAGACGACCACGAGATCCAGCGCATGCTTAAAACGACCACACTTATGTACAAAGTACGAGGACAGGGAGAGGTTAGGGTGCCCGTATCGGTGCACCCTCACCCCTCTAAGAACTACTCCAAGGGTGTGATTACTTGCCTTCCAGTGTGATTTGGGACCTTCGCAGTGTGAGTGATGAGAATGTTGCTGAGGGCCTGTGTGAGGAAGGGGTGACGGCAGTGAGACGTATCAAGAGGAGAGAGAGAGAGAGGAGAGCTGACCGATACTGATTCAACTATTCTGACGTTTTGCTCTGCGAGAGTGCCAGATAGGGTCCGCGTGGGATATCAGTCGGTTCCTGTTAGGGTCTATGTACCCGATTCAGTCCGATGCTACCGATGCCAGACGTATGGTCACTTCACGGACAAGTGCTGGAAAGAAGTTACATGCGGAAGGTGTGCGGAAATAGGTCACCAACACTCTGAGTGTAAATCAGAAACCGTGAAATGCGTCGACTGTGGTCAGGGTCACGTGGCGTCATATCGCAGCTGGCCCAAGTACCACCCGCAGCCAACGAGGTATTGAAACTGAGTGGACTTGATGATTTCAAAAGCATGACTGTAAGCGAGTTTGTACAGCTGATACTAAGCACACTTGTATCAACTGGCTCTGCTGTTCCGTCGTACCGGAAGTCGGATCCTGCGGGAAAGGATTCACCTGCGGCATTGGCCGCCGCTAGAGAAGCTCAGCCTATGGGGTTGAAACCCCCTGGTGGAGCTGCCAGAGAGCCCGGGGCTGGGTCGCGACCCGGGAACGAGGGATGGACCACGGTCCAGCGAGGTCGTGGACTTCGCCCCCCATCATCGCACTTCGGCCCAGCCCGTGCTGAAGACACGCCCTCCCGGGCTCCATCTCCCCCTCCATCCATACCAGCTACGACGGGATCTGTCGTCGCTGGCACAGGGGCGCTACGAGAGCTGCCTCCCGCTGGCTCCCCAGCCAGTGGCCCTGCCGGGAGCGCCGGTCCCCCCGGCTCACGGGAGCCGGACGAGGTTCGGCATCTCCCAGTCGTCGCTCCCTCCCGGAGCCGCCCCTCTGAAACTGTTGTTCGTCCGGGTTCTCTGGACCTTGGCCCTGCAGGGCGCGCCGCCAGGTCGGCGTCTGCACAGCGGACGGGGGGCCGGCTCCCGCTGTCGACTCCGCCCCACTCACCGGGAGGGTCAGTGGGTCCGCCTCCCATTCCTCCACCTGGGGACGGGGTTTCGGGTCGGCCTACCCTGCAGTCCCCGGTGGCGGGTCGTGCAACAAAGCGTGCCCCTCCTTGGCCGACGTTGCCTACGGAGGGTGGAAGTCCCAAAGCTCGGCCAAGGGTCCGGCTTACCTCCACTGAAGTAGAGCGTCGCCAGGGAGATTTGTTTAGTGCAAAACCCTAGGTGAACGCTTAAAGCAGATGTAAGCTGTACCGATGGATCTTAACCGTACACCCCACATACAAGCATACCTAGCATGACAGTGACGTTTTTACAATGGAACATGCGTGGCTTGAGGGCCAACATGTCGGACCTACACACACTCTTATCTTATCGTAACCCGGTTGTGGCATGCTTACAAGAAACAAAGGTATCTGATGACACCCACATTAACATCAAATGTTACAGCATCTTTCGGAAAGACGTGGGAACTGACACGATCGCCCATGGTTGGGTGGCGGTTTTAGCTCATCACAGTATACCGTGCTCTCCTGTAAGTCTTAACACTGACCTTCAAGCTGTTGCTGTCGTCGTCGACCTTGGGTCGCTGAGGCTGACTGTCTGTTCTATCTACCTCCCTCCTGCTGAGGAAGTACCGGATTCGACACTACAGTCCATCTTCGATCAGCTTCCATCGCCGTTCTTGTTGCTGGGTGACTTCGACTCCCATAGCCCTTTGTGGGGCTGCAGTCACACAAGCCGCCGAGGCAGACATCTTGAGCGTTTGCTGAATACAAATAATCTTTGTGTTGTTAACACCGGCCGGCATACCCATATATCTCTGCCGTCCAGCACTACTTCAGCGATAGATCTTTCTACCTGCTCCTCGTCCCTTTTCTGTCGGTTGTCTTGGTCCTTTGAGAACACTAGCATATAGGAGCGACCATTTCCCAATATGGCTTGGGATGAATGCTGGACACCCAGGCAGGAGGCCTTCCTGCTGGAACCTTCGACGTGCTAACTGCCAAAAGTTTACTGACGAGTGCCATATTAGAGTGCAGCCGACCGAGGACGACAATGCAACGTCTCTTGCACAACAAGTGATATCCACAATTGTCGACACTGCAAGGTCTTGCAATCCCTAGACATCACCTGAGCCGCGCAGGATCCCTGTTCCCTGGTGGTCAGAGGACTGCAAGGCGGCAATTCTTAAGCGGAAGCGGGCGTTCAGGGTTTTTAAGCGTTCTGCAACGACCAACAACCTCATCGCTTTTAAAAAGGCCAGAGCATTTGCGAAACGCACAATACGTGAGGCAAAGCGTGCATCGTGGAGGGAATATGTAAATGGTTTAAATCGTCACACCCCACTGAGTGCAGTGTGGCAGCGAGTTAGTCGCATTTCCGGTAGGAGCGTCTCCACTGCAGTTCCGGTGATGAAAGTGGCGGGAATCACGATATTGAACACACAGGAAGTTTCCAGCAAAATAGGTCTCGCATTTGCAGAAAGGTGCCGGCATGGAACAGACGACCCATGCTTTATTCGTTACAAGGAACAATGTGAGAAGACGGCAATCAATTTTAGAATTCTTGACTCAGAGGATTATGAGTACAACCAACCGTTCACTGTCATGGAGCTCTGCACTGCTCTTAAGAGAGCTAAGAGTGTGTCGCCTGGATTGGATAAAGTCCACAATGATAGGTTGAATCACCTAAAGAAGGAGTCCCTCCATGCCTTACTTGAACTTTTCAACTACATATGGTTGCAAGATGACTTCCCAGAGTCGTGGCGGGAAGCCATTATAGTCCCGATACAGAAGCCCGGAAAGGATGGTTCCGACCCACTGCACTACCGCCCAATTTCGCTGACTTCATTCCTATGCAAAGTGCTAGAGAGGATGGTGAATGATCGTCTCATGTGGTACCTTGAAACCCACGGTTGTCTTTCCAAAGTGCAATGCGGGTTTCGGCAGAACCGATGCACTGTTGACCACTTAACGATCTTAGACACAGCTATACTACATTCTTTTCAACAAAGACGCCACACGATAGCAGTCTTCTTTGACATTGAGCGGGCTTATGATACCACCTGACGCTATGGCATTCTAAGCAAGGTACACAAGTGTGGACTCCGAGGTCACATGGCACTCTTCATTGAAAACTTTTTACGTCGTCGATTCTTCCGCGTCCGAGTGGGTGGCATGCTATCTGATCGCTATGAACAAGAGAACGGTGTTCCTCAAGGGAGCGTCCTTAGCGTAACCCTGTTTGCGCTGATGATTGATGATATCGCCGACTGTCTGCCACCTACCATCAGTCGGTCACTGTTTGTGGACGACTTTGTCATCTGGCGTGCGGCATCCATAACGACGTCTGCTGAGAGGCAGCTTCAGTTATGCCTGATCCGACTAACTGAGTGGAGCCTTAAGAATGGCTTCAAATTTTCGACCACTAAGACTAAGTGCATGCACTTCTGCTCACGGATTAGAGGCTGTATAGACCCGGAGTTGCGACTGTATAATGCCACTATCCCAGTTTGTAACGACATCTGTTTCCTGGGCCTCACATTTGGCCGCCGGCTCACGTTTAAGCAACACTTTAAGATGGTTAAGACCAAGTGTCTCAAGCGTATGAACCTCATGAAAGAAATGTGTCGTATGACCTTTGGAGCCGATAGAAGCACCCTGTTGAACCTGTACGGGGCCCTAATTCGATCAGTCATCGATTATACTAGTCCTGTCTACGATAGTGCTCCTACATCTTCAAAGCAGGTTTTGGATACAATCCAACATACATGTGTTCGT